AACCACTGACCTACCAGAGGGATGCTTGGATCTCTGGTGTGAGCACAGTGCTGCACCGCTGCCAGTTAGCCCCAAGCACAGGGCTGTTCAGCACACTGCCCCAAGGGCTGGCTCCCAGCTTCAAAGTTTTACACTCATGGGGAAGTGCTACAAGCTAATTTTACAGGGACTGTTTCATTTCCTGATAGTGCAAAGTTCTTTGCTTCATCTGGAGCCTTGGTACATCACATGGATCGACACTGCTTTTGTCCTTTATGCACTGGTCTATTTAGGGACTGTAATAGTGTTGATGTATTGGGTAAGACCCCTTGGTAATAACTGCCTATCCTCAGAAAGGAAGATAATTGTGACATATCTTGTGGTCAGAGCATTAATGGTGATTTATGAAAATCATCTGTGAGTCCCACAGCACATAGTCGACTTTGAACCATTCACTTTTCCCTCATTTTCTCCAATACCGCTCTTGACAGCCCCACCAGCACCTCTGCAGACAACGCTCCTTGTTACCTCCTCTAACCCAAACACTGTCCACATAAATCTGAATGTTAAATGTGTTTTGCAGTAGCTGGCCCATGGCCTTCCACCAGGACAGGAATGGGGAAGCTCTCCCTGCACTGTTGTACTGGGATAAAACCCCATATGCATGATACACAGTGTGCTTCAGAGAATCATAGAATCGTTTGAGTTGGAAAGGACCCTCAAAGGTCATCTAGTGCAACTCTCCAGCAATGAACAGGGAAATCTATAACTGGAATTCAGCTTCTTGTCATGATCCAGCACCTCCTTCTGGCTCTGGATTTGCTCCATCAGACCTAGGCTTTGTTAGTTGTGATTGGGGAATAACCACAGTGTGAAATACTCCCTCTTTCCTCCTTGCCGGCACCACAGCCTCCCTCACAGACCCAGGGGAGCATCCGTAGCCCTGCCCACGCTGCAGCCCTCCCCTCCACAGCCTGTTGCACAGATGAGGTCTCAGAGTACGGTAGAGTTGAAATCGCCCTTTTCCCCCAAGCAAAACTTTTTCCTAAATGTTTCAGTTCTGATAATGTTCCAATAGACTTTCACCTCAAAGGGGTGACTGTCCCCTAAAGGGGGAACAATAATCCTTTTCTTTCAGGCTGTGTGTTGTTGCAACTCCCCATTTTCTGGAGTAGCACTTTGACACAGCACTTCCTAGAGCACATTTTAAGGGTAAATCAGCCTCAGCTAATAACCGTTTTTTGATTGCTTCATTTTGCATACCACACACTAACCGCTCCCTTGACAGAGCATTTAAATGCTCTCCAAACTTGCAATGCACTCGTAATTTCCTTTCACCTTCTAAACAAAGATTTAGAAATTGTTTCATTTTCCTCTTTTTTTTTTTTTTTTTTAAAATTGCATTTTTTGGGAGCTCAGATGCATCGCTGTCGCCAGTGCCATTATGCAAAGAGAGGTTGGGAACACTTCCACCATCTCAGCAAGTGTTCCACCAGCTGGTATAGCAGCAGCCATTAGTCTGTGGTTTCCTCTTCAGCTTTTCAGCATTCACAGTATTCCTAGATTATAATGGTCACCATTTCTTGTTTTTCTTTCCTTCTTAGACATAACATGAAGAGCCACATGGTCATGGATGAGCGCGTGCTGTGTACACACAGCAGCTTCTCCCACTACGGCTTGGCCATGAGTGCAGAGCAAGCCTTGCTTCCTCCTTTGGCACCTCAGCCTGCCTCCTTAACCATTTATTTGCTTCCCAGAGGCTGTTCAGCTTAGGGATGTAAAGAGCTGGTTTGATTCTTCCAGGGTATCTGTGACCTGACTGCAGCGGTGGGTGGCCTCTACATCAGCTGATGCTTTTCAGAGAATCACAGAATCATTAAGGCTGGAAAAGACCTCTGAGATCATCTGGTCCAACCACCAACCCATCGCACTGACCACATCCCTCAGTGCCACATCCACACAGTTCTTGAACACCTCCAAGGACGGTGACTGCACCACCTCCCTGGGCAGCTGTGCCACTGCATCACCACTCTTTCTGAGAAGAAATTCTTCCTAACATCCAGCGTGAACCCCCTCTGATGCAACTTAAGGCTATCACCTCTTGTCCTATCACTAGTTATGTGGGAGAGGAGAAGAGGTTGACCCATACATCACTCCTTTCAGGCAGTGTGCAGTCGCAGTTGTCAGAGTCTCCCCTAGCCTCCTCTTCTCCAGAATGAACAATCGCAGCTCCCTCAATCACTCTCTGTAAGACTTGTGCTCCAAACCCCTCACAGCTTTGTTGCCCTTCTCTGGAAACACTCCAGGGCCTCAATGTCTTTCTTATATTGCAGGGCCCAAAACACAACATTCAAGTTGTGGTTCACCACTGGGGGATGATCACCTCCCTGCTCCTGCTGGCTCTTTCCAACACAAGCCAGGATGCCACTGGCCTTCTTTGCCACCTGGGTACACTCCTGGCTCATGTTCAGGCAGCTACTCTGCTCCAAGTCTGTAGTGATGCGTGAGGTTGTTGTGACCAAAGTGCAGGATCCATTAAAAGTGAAGGACCTGGCACTTTTGGAAGGGCAGTATAGGAAGCAGAGAAAGGAGTACTCTGGGGAAGGGAGACGATCCAGGCACACAGAGGTCAGATTCGGTGAAAGGTGTATTTCTCATTTCCTGGCCCCACCGTGTGTTCTGGCAGAGCTGTGGAAATTCACCTGCAGTATTACATCATGAGGGCCTAGCTCAGAAAGCTGAAAAGGAAGAGGTTTTGCCTTGCCAGAGTCAGGCACCAAGGTGACAGTTGCGGGCACACAGTGCGGCTGGAAAGGTACTGAGGCTGTTGTGACTCACAGGTAGGAGTCACGTCAGGAAGGGGATACCGGCTTGTATCACCATCCCCTCCCAGTTCTGTTTCAGCAGCTGCTGCTTGGCTCCTGCTGGTGGCATTTTCCATGCAAACTTGGCAGCATCAGCAATACCCAGGATTAGCTTCCCCTGAAGGGGAAGGGAAAGCCAGGTGATACCTGGGATCATGCCAGGCTGAACCTTGAATAAAAAGACAAGCTAGCTCCATCTGGGCTCCACTGCTTTGTCTTGCCTACACAGGATCTATGTTCCAGGCCAGGAATGCTTCCCAAAACCTATGCATGCTGCTCTGGACTGGCATGGTGCTATGGCAGTAGCAGGCATGGCAAGACCCCCTGACGCAGCTGGTTTCTCGGACTTGTCTTCCTCCCTCAGCATGCCCCCACTGCCCCCGTGTTGCTCGGGTACTATACATGTGCTAGACCTCTCTCAACAGCTGCAAACTCTCACCACTTTTACAGAATGCAGCAGGCCAGCAACTACCCTGTTTTCTTTTAGCTTAAATATGATAAGTGCCAGAGAAAAGATGAAGAATTACTTTGGCCTGAAGTTCAGTACGAACAACAGTGGAAGTCAGGCCATGGGCAGATCTAGTGTGATATCTTGCATTATACTGTATTAAAGAGCATCGGTGTCCTGTCCCATGAGAGAGGTACTGCCACCTTCCCAAAAGCACCCATATAAGTATCGACTCTGCAAAGCCAGAAGGCAGCTAAACACAGGACTGAGCTAAAAATCATGATTTAGCCTGGTGGAGGAAGATATGCAGGAGCATTGGAGAGTGAGGGGCTGCAAATGGGAACTGAGGCACCCCAACTCCAGCAGGTTTCAGGGACAGGAGCAAGGAAAGGGGCTTTGGACAGGATTAACTCTAGGTGGGAACAAAGAGATTGAGTTGCAGGGAGGGTATTTCCATAGCTACCCTTTGCAATGTGCCTGGCTCCTATATATCTTGTCATGGGCTACTCTCTCCTTACAGGCTGCAAATGCTTGTTTGTTTGCTTGTTTGTTTGCTTGTGGTGATTTCAAACCCAAGAGCAAAGATGGAGCTGGCTGGAGCAATGTTGCTGTCCACTCCCACCAGCTGAGCTCATGTGTGTGCGAGGGAAGGTATGTTCACCATAGCAGCAACCATCCTGCTGCTTTAAACTTCAGCCATAGGTGTTGCGTCAGGTTATGTAAAGTTCAGTTGCATCATGCAAGATTGCACAACACAGCCTGCGTGCCAAAGCCAGGCTTCATTCATCGATCAGGTCTTGTTGGCCACAGGAAGCTAGTTAGGTAGCCTGGCATGGAAGCCACCTCTCCCAGCCCACAACATCCTTACCTAAAATTTCCAAGGGAGGCTGCCACTAGTGTGCCAGGGTGGCCACCAGCCATCACTGTGACACAACAGAGAGCAAGGCATGAGTCACTCATTTGGCCATCCAGAGCAGAGACCACATCTTCTCAAAGAGGTCCCTGCCACACATCCCTTGGGGTGATGAGATGTCCCCTCATGCTAGCACCATTCTGATAGATAAGCCTTTAAAACTATTTTATTTCAGATCCTAGTGCCTGTCCCATTGTTGGTGTTCCCACAAGGCACCTCTCGGTCCTGGCCAGCCCAGCACAGCACCGAGCTCAGCTGGAGCAGTCCCTCCCCCCCTCCCCTCCTTCTCCCCACCACACCTATGGCCCCATAATCTACTGAAAGCATCCACAGACAGGCATGGGCCAGAGCGCTGCACCAGCATCATCTTCCTTGATTAGTTCAAGCCCTAGGCCTGTGGAAAAGATGGAGATGGGAACAGCCTGTCCAAAGCAGATGGAGAACACCAGAAGCATGTCTGAAACACAAAGGGCTTTGGGGACAGTGCCTGAATGCACAGGCCCATCTCCAGAGATCCCCTGGCCCCCACCAGACTCCTGTGTGCTCCTCTCCTCAGATGTGCCAAGGACACCTATGGTGTCACGTTCAGTGGTGTTGAGCTGCCAGTGGACTCATTGCTATTGTGTGAAATGCTCCCTTCTTGCCAAATGGCTCCCCTCCTCTGCTGGCAGCGCAATCCGGTGATGACCCACTCCAGGGTGCGGCAGTGCAAGCAGTGGCCCATCCACCAGGCTGAACTGGGTGGAAGCCCTGCGGCATGGGAGGGTCTCCTCTGGGAGGGGTAGGGGGGACCTACCTGTGCAGCAAGGTGCTCTGTCCCCCTCCAGTGGCTGAGATCTTCAGGAAGCAGCAGCCAGGCTTCATTCTCCCAGCTCACCAAGCCACGGTCATCTCATGCTTTTGACAGCAGAGTCTGGGCGTGCAGGTCCTACTGGTGGTGATGTCATAGTCATGGTGGACTCCAAAGCCACCAAGGTGTTATGCCAAGGAAGTTCCATCAAGGAAGGCATCCTGGCAGGATATCCTGTCACCCATGGAAGACCCCAGTCAGCCACTGCTCGATTGTATGCAAACTTTGATCTCCATGCAGAGCTTTGTGTCTGCCATATTTACTTCAGGAAGGCATAGTTTTCTAGGTTTCTTTCCTGCCTCAGGTACTATTCTTAGAAATAGAAGAAGGTAATTCCCAGCATCCCCATACAAAGAGCTTCAAATTTGGTCTTGTATTTGTGGCACCTGAAGTTTCCTCACAGAGCTGTAGCTGTGCAGGGAAATCCTGCTTCCCTCTGCAGTGCCTGTTCCTCCTTGAGCACGTCTCAACTCTTGTGAAAGACCCCAAGGGAGCCTAGGACATCAAGGATCCATGTCAGTTACAGCATGAAGATGTTCAAGTGATTGTCCTAGAGCATTTGCTGCCCTGCAGACAGTGCAGCATGGGCAGGTATGATCTTCTGTCCTATGCAGACCCAATCACCTTTGGGACTTTCAGCAGTGGGAATGTCATCTAGGCTGGCATGAACTTGGCACAGGTTGGATGAAGGTGAGAGGTCTGGGAAGATAAGGGACCATGACAATCTGGCAGGTCTGGTGTTTTCCCTCTGTGGAATGATATGAAGAAAAATATCCACACCCACATGACAGATTTCACCTCCAAGGTACTACACTCTAGTTGTAGTGGGAGCACACAGTGGGGAAAGTAGGCACTGCTCAACTCACCAGAATCTGATTTTTCCCTCCAGAAAAGCACCCAAAGATTGTCTGCACTGGACTGCTTAGGTTGTAGAGTTGGAAGAGGGTTTAATAACAGTCAGAGCTGAACTGTTCGAGATGTGAGGGTAGGCTTGGCTGGGAGGAGGGCATGGGGAATTCGTTGGACCTACTGTGACCTCTACTGGCTTGGTCTGAAATTGGTGTGCTGGTTGGCCAGATCTTGCCAGAGCATAGTGGGAAGCTGGTCCCCTTGCTGCAGAGCTCCCAGGAACTCCCATAGTGCAGACCCTGAGGTTCTCTGTTCCTGGTACAGGCTTCAGTCTCATTCTTGATGTAAATGTAAGGCAGCTGTTCCACTTACTCATTTCCAGTAGTATTTACAGGGAAAAGTTAAGGCACCCAAGGCTTTCGGTACCACTACACTCCAAGTACCAAATTATCTGCTATGATCTCTGAGCATGACCACAGAAAGACCTCGTTCACAGAAATAGATTGGGTTTAAAAAACGAACATCCTTTGAGTTTAAAAAAAAAATTCTTCTGAAACAAAAATCTGTGTGCCTTTGTAACACATCAACTCGCAAAGAGTAGCAAAATCAAAGGCATGGAAAACCTCAGTGCAGGAAGCAGAGCAAATGGACATCACAGCTGCCAGGTGAAGCACTGTGCTGCACCCTCCAACTTTGGGGCCTCCAGAAGAAGCTGCCGTTTCTGTGCAGCGAGAGAGCAGGAAGGTTTCTTTTTTAAAGGAAATCGGAGCTTTCAGTTTAATCCTGTGTTTTTATGAATGCCCGGGTCTTAATCCAAGCCCGGAGTTTGGACTACTTTAAATAGACGTTGTGTGACATTTTGGAGCTAGTTGCATTTAATTGGTGGCCTAGAGTCTGTTACCACAGCTTGTATGAAATGATAGATTGAAGTTTGACGAAAAACACTAAGACACTCTCACCCACATATTGCTCTTCGTCCATAAAGAAATACAGGGGTAGAGAGAGAGGCAAAATCATTAGCAAGCCAGTTGGGTTCTGAACCTTACTTGGAAAATCAAAACCAGAGACTCATTGGTGGTGACATATTAAAGTGTCACAAACTGTTCCCATAAAGGCATCACAGAACTGGTTTTGATGGAGTGTTTGTGTCTTTCCTATGCAAGCTACTGCCTCTCCAGCAGCACAAATGCATCTTGCAAGCTGAGCTTCTCTGGCAATTTCGTGTCTCCAGCACAGTCCTCCTGCAGCACTGAGCCAGACAGAGTGGCTTATACAGCTTCAATGGGGTTTGCACTCATTTGACCTTTTTTGTAATCCAAATACCCTTCATCCCAGTGAGCACACCTTCTTCTGGGCTGTTTGTTCCTGCTAAACAAGGGAAAGATTCTCACCAGTGCTGCAATATGTACTGAACAAACACTGTGTCATGATTTAAGAATAAAATCTGGTGACATGAAATACAGACATTTCCAGCCTCCTAGAAGGCATTCCTGGGTTACGGAGATATCTTTGGAAAAGCTGAGGCACACTGGCACATGACACAATGCATCCTTATCAGCCAACCTTTGTCTCGACCTGTCAGACTGCTTCTCTCCCATATGACATAGTGTATTGGCTGGTGTACTCAATCCTACCGTGATGCTTTAGCAAGAGCCCAGCCTTTCTTTATCAAAGGGGACTGCCTGTGTAGAAGAGAGGAAGTGGCTGGTACACCTCCTGACCCTCTGATAGCTGACATTGCCCCAGCAAAAACCAGTGATAAAAAGGAACTAATGATGGTGAAAATCACAAGGCAGAAAGCTACACATTTACCTTTACCATTGCGTATTTTTATTGCCACACCACCCAAAAGATTCAAGCTCTGATCTTTTGCCCCACAGTACAATGCTGACATTCATTTGCCAAGGGATGAGATCTGCCCCAAGCCCCACAGCAGCTGAGATAGCCAGATGAATGAACCGGCATGGAGTGAAGAAATGAGAAAGGGAGCTCCTGAAGATGTGTAATGCCCCATCCCTCGGGCTGAATTCTCCTACACAAGCCAAACCCTTTTAGCCTGGAAGAAAAATTGTGCTGTTGAAGGAGTTATGATTGCAGCTGTGGGAAAAGCTGCCATGCGATATCAGTCCTGACGTCGCTGAATGCAAAGCCCTGTGAGTTCATGTGTCAGGGTGGAGTGAGGCAAGATAACTGGAGGAGAAAGAGACTCCAACGCTTTCAAAACAAGAAGGCTCAACAACAGGCTAGGAGTGACTGCACAGGAAGGCAGTTGTGGGCTTTGCTGAATCCCTAAAGCTGGAAAGTTCCTTTCAGTGTCCGTATAAATATTTCTGTAAGTTATTTTTAAGTGTGTGTTTTGAAACTGAAATATATTTAGACCAGTTAAATGAAAATGTGGTTTACAGACTGCTTCTTTAGAAATTTCCCACGCTGGAAAGCCTGATTGTCCCGTGTCCAGGCTGCCCGGTCCTATGGGCACCTTTGGGTCAGAAGTAGGGGCTCTTCTCCAGACCAGGTAGTCAGGGTGCAGCCCCAGGGCCAGCACAGGAGGGCTAGTAGCCTGGGTGATTGTTGGCCCCAGCATGTGAGAGTGGGGTAAGATGTGATACAGCACATAAGGAAGGCCTGAGAGGAAATCCGGGATCTGGAGAAAGCAAACCTTCTCCTTCCTGTGAGCCACAGGCAAACAACTTTCCCAGGGCACAGCAGGGGTCACAACGGCCATCTCTTCCCAATGCAACACGGAGCTGGGGTCCTCATCACATGTGGTCTGATCCCACAGCACTTGCTGAGGAATCAGGATGTTGTTTTGGCCAAGTTCCAGGCTGGCCAGCACTGTTTCATAGAAGCTACAGATGAAAAAAGTTCAATAGCGCAGTCCCTCTGCCCAGTGGATGGAAATGGCACTCAATTTCCCACCAAGGATGGTAGCATGCCATGCTCTGCCTCTTTCTTCCCCTGAAGGAGCTTTGATGGGTGGGGAACCTCTTCTCCTTGCTTACCCCAAGCCATTATGCAGTGCTGCTGTATGCATGGGAACAATTTTCTGTCCCGTGCCAGGGAACACTGTTTTGCAGTGATGTCCTCCTACCTGCACTTAAGGCTGAAGGAGAAACACATTTATTTATGCTTTGGTTCACATGAAATAATGCTGGGAGTGGCACCATGTAGAAAAATGTCTTTTCTTCCGTATTGTTTTCGTGCTTTTTGCATTATCCATCCATCTTGCAAGCAATATTCTCAAAAGTTTTCCCAGTGGATTTCAGCCGGCTGGGTTGATTTAGGAAAAACCTTTTGAAGATCCTCCGCTGCAGCCTGCACAGTTGGATTGCTTTTTGGGGGAGTTCTGGGAAGTGCACATCCAGCAAAACCTCTTTCCAGGACTCTGATTTTCTTTTCCAGCCTTTATAGATAGTCCAGCTGGAACAGCAGAAAGATGTATGCTATAGTTTAGAAATTTGACCTAGTTCCTTTAATCCGTGCTAGCCACAGGAGCTCTCAGAGGGCTCAGCATCAGTGCACAGCCTCACCAGATCACTTGTAACACAGGCTTTAAAGAAACAGCTTCTTGCAAGAGTAAAAACATCCTTTGATCCCTGTTAAAAATGTTGAAAAAAAAAAGGGGCAGGGGGAACTTTGAGCTTAAGAAGCAGCAAAATTCAAATGAGTTTGGTTTCTTCTGCACATAAATGAAAGCTAAATGTTCTGCGATGCAGCCATCAGAGCAGGGGAATTCCAGAAAATGGAGTGAGAGATGTATCGGGTAAATATAAATACAGGATTAACAGCAGCTGACCCAATGGCAGAACACCAATCAATCAAGCTGTTAAAATAAAAGACAGAGCTTACAGTAAGGCCCAATTCCCTCCTTGCTCCCCTGCACATCCCCAATGCATCGTTCCCCAGTGGGCAGGCTGCCATCTGTGGAAAGGCTGCTGCAGGGGGTGGCGAGACTGCAAAACTGTTCTTAAACCCCAAAGCAAAGCAAAAAAAAAACCAGCATTCCCCACCCCCACTGATATCCTTCAAGGTCCAAAGCCACCTTTCTGAACACTGCTTCTCCCAAAGTCATCAGCCAAGCAGTTTGGCTTTTCTTTTTTTTTTTTTTTTTTTCCCATAACACACAAAAAGGGCTTCATTTCTATGCTTTCCGTTTTTTCCTGAGTGAGGGACTATTGGCTGTATTGGAGGAAGGGTAAGAAACCCACTTCTGGGGATTCCTATTTTCCATGTAAGCAGAGGTGTTTATAAACTGTATTCCCAGCTTCCTTGAAGTCTGGTCTCTTTGCAAGCTGTTCGTGTCCTAGGATGATAGGTGCCACATAAAAAGTCAGAGGAGAAGCAGACCTGTTCTCCTTCTAGTTGAAGCCAACGACAACATTTCTTATCCTAAATCACCCTCATCTTTTCCCTTCTCATTATAGAAGCGCTTTCCCAGGCTCCCAGCCATTCTCAATAGCAGTGCCCCAGCCCCCTCTGTTTCTTTTTTACCAAGGCTGTAGACTATATTCCCTTCCCACGAGAAAATGCCATTATAACATTAGCAACTTTTTTTTTTCTCCTCCAATCCCACTCCCATTTCTGTTTTCTTTTGACCCACATTGGGAAGAACTATCCACCCAGCCTTGCCCACCGACACTGTGCCTCCTGGCCAAACAGCTGCAGCTTGTCCAAAACGTGGTCCTGCGGAGGGAGGACCAGCTGAACTAGTTCCTTGCTATCCATGTTAGTCCAGCTCTGATAACACTGAGTTTTGGCCATCACTGATCAAATGTGGCCCATCTGCACTGGCCTTTCCCTCAAATTCCCCACATCTCTCTGGGCTTGGTTTTATTTCTCTGGAACTCAGAGGCCAGATGTTCCCACCACGCTCCTCACTCCTCCATCACAGTAGGGAGAACAGCTCATGGCCTAGCTGCTGCTGTTCGAAATGGCTTCTTGATTCATGAGTTGGATGCATCTTGCAAAGCATCCCAGCAGCAGCAATGTGCTTGTCCCTTTGCTTTGATCAGCCCTGTCATGGAGAACAGGGTACAAAAAGGACATTTGTTAAGATCATCTATAAAAATTTAACAAGTTGCCAGTGCATGTCCTGTGCCAAAATTTCTCTTCACCCAGTGCTGTTCTGTATGAGGATATTTTGGCAAGGGAGTTTTGTTTTGCTGGCTTTTAGGCAATGGGAATTTTGCTTTTGTTTCCTAGAATTCACATGCAGCTTGAAGGGTTTTTCCAGAACAAAATCCATCCTGCATTCTATCAGGCCAAGTGGCACTCTGGCTGTACAAAAGCAGAAATACAACTATAACAACAATAATCTGAATAACGAGCTCATTCAGGACAGGACAGGTAGGCAGAAAAACAGACAAACAAGCATCAGTCAGGGTACAAACCCTCCTGCCTTTTAGCACCCAAAATGGAGCTGCAGTTGGCTACAGGCCTCTGGCAGCCCAATGCCCACGCCTGTCGCACACCACTGCCCAGCTGCTGTGTTTGCGCTGACATCCCCTGTGCAGAGCCGGACCCCCACCTCACCCTTAGTCAAAGGGTCCTTTCTTATTCCTCCATCACCTCCCCATTTCCACGCGTTGCTGGCATTCAAGGCAAATATTTCTCCCACCCTCGGCCAGCTCTTCCCCCCTCCTTGCTTTACGGAGGCCCCTTTATCAGGCAAGGCCACGGCGAGCCAGGCAAACATTACCTCAGGGGCACTGTGAATCGGGGCTAGGGGTGTGAATAGGTCCCACACATTCCCTCCAGCCTCTTCCCTTTCCTATAGCAACCACGTCGGGAGCAGGCAGGTCACACAGCCCCTCCGTTGTGCAGCCGGGGGCCAGGGGGGCCGAGGTTTTGCCGCCCCGTCTGGGAGCAGGCTGCAGGATGGGGGTGGCTTCCCAAATTGCATGGGACAGCACAGTGGCACTGTGCAAGGGGTAGCAGTGGGGCGCCAGGAAGAGGAGGAGTGTGGCAGATCCTGGTATCACCTGGTATCACTGCAGGAGTCCTGGGAAGAAACTCTAAGAGCAGACCTGTCCTAAATAAACCAAAATAACATTAACTTGCTTCTTGGAAGCAAGATGAGATCCTGTCTATCCAGGGTAGCAGAGCAGATTTTCTGACTGAAGGCCTCCAGAAGAAGGAAAAGAACCACAGGGTGTTGGTCAATGCTTGGCTGAACATGAGCCAGCAGTGTGTCTGAAGGTGAAAGGCACTCTGGCTTTTATCAAAAATAATGCTACAGCAGGAGCAGGGAGGCGATCGTCCCTCTGTACTCAGCTCTGGTGAGGCACGCCTCAAGCACTGTGTTCAGTTCTGGGCCACTCAATGCAAGAAAGGGACCCCGGCGAGCATCCAGAGAAAGGCAACAAAGCCATGAAGAGTCTGGATCACAAGTCTTATGGGGATTGATTAAGGGAGATGGGATTGTTCAGTCTGGAGAAGAGCAGGCTCAGGGTAGACCTAATCGCTCTCTACAACTCCATGAAAAGAGGTTGTGGGGAGGTGGAGGTCGGTCTTTTCTGTAACTTTGATAGGATGAGACATAACAGCCTCAAGTTGTGCTAGGGGAGGTTCAGGTTGGATATTAGGAAGGATTTCTTCTCAGAAAGAGCCGTGATGCAGTGGCACAGCTGCCCAGGGAGGTGGTGCAGTCATCATCCCTGGAAGTGTTCAAGAGCCACGCGGGTGCGGTACTGAGGGACATGGTCAGTGGACATGGTGAAGATGAGTTGGTGGTTGGGCGAGACGATCTTAGACATCTTTTCCAACCTTAATGGTTCTATAGCATTGGATAAACTCCCCACAACTGGTGGCACATACAGGTGAGCTCAGTGCAGTCTCCTCCACTATCACACCCAGGTGTGGCAGGGTTTGCTGCTTTGCCACTGCCAGAGCAGCCACTCCTGAAGCTGATAAGGCACTGAGCTGCCCTTGCAGGTATTCCTGTAGGGTCTCACCAGTACCATGGCAGCAGTGCTTGTTCTTACGTTACAGTTTGGGTCATGTTTACAGTACTCCTCTACTCCATCCTCTGCTCTAAGACACTCCCCAGGAGCCATTTCAGTCATGGGGACAGCAGACCCCTGGCAGAGAATGGCCATGGAGGGGTGCAGTGCTCACAGTGGGATCAGCTGAGCCCATCAGAGAGCTTTCAATCTAAAAACAGAGACATTAAACATTGATTTGTATTCCAGGATGGGAAGTAGGATGAGTCATAGACATATAAACATGAAAGAAAATCTACTCAGGCGTCATCAGCTCTATCTGGGAGATGCAAGTCTATGCCTCTCCAAAAACATCACAGGAAGGAACTCCATCCTTAGGTTGCTTGCTCCAGCATTAGTTGGATAGTTTTTCCTATTATCATATCTCAGACATTCTCAGATTCTTACACGTGCTCAGCCTCATACCAGCTGGAGCTTTTTCAGGACCTGTGGCTTTACTCCTAAGTATAAAGGGAAACCGTCCATTTGAATTCTTCTGTTTCCAAAATGAGTGTGTTGTGGTTACTTTACCAACATTTTTTTTATGTCACAGTAGTAGTCAGGCCCTAGGAATTGTTCAGATAGAGAGGAAAGTGTGGTCTTCCCAAAACCCCACCACATGATTCATGGAGCAGTAGGCTGCTGACAAAAGGTGGGTAGCAGGGAGCTGATCACCGGGAAAGCGATAGTGATAGTGACTAATATCCTGACAGCCAGGAGCCATTTTGGCTCCTCTACCCACGGCTGAGACCCTCCATCACTCTTGTGGTTTCACAGTCATATATTCCACTTTCTAAAAAAACCTTTGCTCTCCCTCAAAGGCTTGTGCAAGGCCCACCCAAACAACGGAAGAAACTCACTGACCAAAGGAAAACTGATTGCACCCGAAGCGCTGACACACGCACCGCACAACCCAGCCAGAAGCTGAGCCTGAGTGTTTTTCTCCACTCTTGGACTCTTGGGAACTTCACAGCTCAGCAGCAGGATGGAAATAACAGAGAAGAAAGGCGTGTTTTTGTGTGGATGAGTGGATAGAAACCTTTGAACAGGTTCTTCCATCCTCTATCAGTTGAGTGAAAGAATGGGGTTTGTCCTGAAATCTTCTGGGATGAAGATAAAATATCTGCCACCTTCTGCTGGTTCAAGGATGGCCAATTCCCTCCTTGTTGTACATAGCCCTCTGGGTCTACACCCCATCCACTTTTCCGACAAGGAGCCAACCTCTGTCCCACAGCCCAGTGCCCGTGGTCATGACAACCACACAGCAAGGCCAGTACCTGCCAAGTGATGCAGAAAACTAGTCCTCCAGCCATGCAGCATGGGCACTGCTGGCCATGGTGCAGGGAAGAGGCTGGGGGACAGCAAGGAGCAGGCTGTCAGCCATAAGAGTATGTGGAGCCCATAACCTTCTCCCCATGGGCTTCAGAGGGCTTCGGGAAAGAGGAATCATGAGAAGGAATGGGCCCTGTGCCAATGATGTGTCTTGGCAGACCCCTGGCTGAGGACTGTCATTCCAGCTCCACAGGATGAAGTGATAGGCTATGGCACAGGCATGCTGAGTTATCAGGTGTTATGTCAGGTATAAGACAGAAGTTTGACATAGAAATACCCTTTGGCCTCACTTGAACTCACTCCAGAGCCAGGTATTGCCCCAACCCAGAGTCATCACATGGGGCATCTGAACCAGGACCACCTGCATTCCTGGGGAAGGGTCTGTGCTGGTTCCCAACCTCTGACAAGCCATGAGCATCAAGGGAAACTGAATATCACCACACTGACAGTTTCAGTATGCAGAGTCGGACATTTCTTCCTCCTGACTCTGGGGAAGAAAACCAGGTGCTGCCTAGCATGCTTTTGACATGTCCCTAGTCTCAGCCTCAGAGGCTGCTCACTGTTCTTCCGTCCTCTGCACACAGAAAGCAAATCCCTCCTCATCAGTTTCCCCCTGGGAGCCAGGGCTAACTACTCATGCCCCCATTCACCTGGGGTGGTGGGAAAAAAAAGTTGCTGATGGCTGTGTAGGCATCAGCCTCATGCTTCCTGGTGGGAAGAAGGTTAACACAGCTCGTGAGTCAAATGTGCAGCTTAATTAAAGTTAAAGACAAGCAGGAGAATGGCATGGAAGCATTTGCCCAAAGGCCACTTATCCGGCCACCCCCATGCATGCAAAGCCTCAGTTTGAGGCATCTGTACCTCTACAGGGACACATCCTCTGCTCCTGGGTTGTGGGCAGAGCCCTCTCATTCCAGCTACCTCCTGCCCCCAGCCCTGCAATTGCCTGTGAATTAGGAGCTATTCTTGCTAGTTCTTTGGCAACACAAATTCCCAGAAAAGGCACTTCTCTCCCCCCACCCCCCAAAAAAAAGAAAAAAAAAAAAAAGGCCCTTCCTGCTAACAGGAACCTTCAGCAAGGCACCCACCTTTGTCTTCCTGCCCCACTGCCACGTACCCTCAGCACCAAGAGCAGTGGGTGATGTTTACAGAACATCTCCTTAAGAAGCAAAGGCAATCGGAAGGTGGCCCAGCTACCAGAGTGGGAAATGCAGTGGTCTGCGAGCAATTGGCCACAAATTGAAGTGGTTTATTTCTGGTAACTCAGCCACAGCAGCTTCCAGTAATGCTCATAAAGCTCCTTTCCGCTTGAGAGATGGTGGCTTCCAGGGGCCATCACAGCTAACTCTCCAGTCTGGCTTTCCTTAAAGCATGCTGGTGAATGCCTGAAGTCAATGAGGGAGCTGAGGCTGCCTAAGATCCTTCATGGGAGACACCAAAGATTTCCTAACAGAACCCAGGAGGCACTTCTACAACTCTGAGTAGTAGCAAGCAAACCTCAGATGGTCTGGCCATTGTCCACATATTTGGAAAAGAAAGGGGAAGGATGGCTAATAAAGACTACCTGTCCTTGTCATTCCTCAGATCTGCCTCATCTGAACAGAGATTCCCAAAGACCCGCTCTGAGCAGACTGCTCACATCACCTCAGTCCCACCAAGCCCAAGATTAGGCAGCATCAGCTAGGAAAAGTTGCGTCTTTCTCTTATATCTGCTCTAGACTTAATGATGCTTCACATCTGCACTGCCCCATGGGGAAGCTGTGATGTTGCCTAAAAGACATCTCTCTGGGGAGCTGCAGGAACAAAACTACAGAACATCAAAGCCCAATCTTGCCCAGAGCTGTGGTACAATCAGAAGACATGGCTTCATGCTATAAAAATGCCACCAGGGCCACACCAAGGTGGAGCAATAGAAGCTGAAGTTGTGGTCGAGGCAGCTACCACAAACCGTTCTCTTGTTGTGCCAGATCTGATCTCTGATCATCTGATCATAGCAGACTGCACAGGTTTTCTCCTGACCACATGGGTCCAGCTCCTCACTGCTGTCTTTGGCCCCAGTCAAAGACACTTTGGATCTTGGCACTAAGTGGCTAAACAGCACCACCTGGGGCACTTGATGGAGCATCTGGCAAACACTGCTTGTTGGTTATTAAAGGTGTGACATACATCCTGCACTTTAGTGTTCGGCTGGGTTCCAGGGTTGCACAACAATCCCTGTTATCTGCCTGGAGTTTAGCCCCTTGGCATGTCAGCCTGTGCCCTCTTCACCAAAGACTGAAAGATGTGACATAGTAAAGTTTCTCTGCATTTCCCTACCCCGTTCATTCCAGGACCCCACTGACCTTTTTTCCCCCACCTCAAGCTACTGGCAAGGCCACAGTGCTCCCTTGCTTGAGTTCACTTGCTTTTCACTCCCTCTTTTACCTCCTTTCCTCTTCATTTTGAGGCTTGTAGCTAATCACGAGGCTCTGATGAGGAAGGTAGCACCAGCACAGGGAAAGATGGAGCAGTGAGGAAAGTCAAAGCCCCTGCTCATGCCAAGCACCCTCAATGGCCAGCTTCCAGCCCATGGTACCCTGTGGCTGGAGGAAGGAGAGAAGGAAACTCGTTTACAGCTGACATGGAAATTGTGGAAATTGGCATAGAGCAAGCACATCCTTACCCCGTCCAATTCTGGGCTGTCCTTGGGGCAGTCATTTTGAATGCCGAGCTTGTCTCTGAATTCCCTGCCAAGTTTCAGTCATGGGGATGAATAGAGAGAGAAATACATACAGTGAAAGGGGAGCAAGGCAAGGGGAGGGGAGATATGTTATCTTCAGCATGTCAACTGGGGGGAGAAGTGCCTGAGCTCAGGAAGGCAAGCAAAGCAATGTGTGCTAGCATGAGGCTTCTCTTCAACGCCAGCCAGGGACAACACTGGACAAGAATCTGAGGTGCTAAAGCAAGGGCAAAGAGCCCCTGTGGGGAAGGCAGAGGAAGAAGGGAATAAGGTGCATCAGAAGTTGTTAGCACCTTCTTCCTTACAGAGCTCCAGCAAGCAGGAACATCAAGAAGCCTTTCAGCTCCAGAAAAGTCAGTGAGGACTGAGAGCCAGCAGAGATAGAACATACGCCATTTCTATGTCCATTGCTTACCCTGGGCTGGGATCCCTTCTGCCTGCTGGGGCTGGTCCCTTGGTGGGACCCCATCACCTTTCTGCTCATGCCCTCCACATCTGCCTTCCCTGGCACTGCTGCTCTCTCCCTGTATCAGTGTAGGCTTCTAATAAATGAACCTTGAATGCACTGTGTCCTCTGGCAGTGACAGAATCGTTCTCAGTTGTGCTGAAGGTGGCCTCCTCAAGCCAAGCATCTCTGTCACATTGGCATTTTGCCAGCCCAGGACTCAAGTGCAACTCAGCCTGCGCTCCCCCAGACCTGGTCACCTCCCTGCTGACCCACAGCACTGCCCCCTGCAGCCTCAGTGCTAGCAGCAGGGCAGGGAGAGCTTTCTGGGGGGGGAAGGGAAAAAAAAAATGCAGAAGCTGGCAGAAAGAGATGAGCTGGTGTCATCTGCCATGTCACCTCTTTTTGAAGGCTTGGGTTCCTTTATATTCAGTTCCACAAACAGCAGCCAATAGTGAGCATTAATATTAATAGTGGTGCTTTGATTATCGTTACTAACAACAGTTGATCTACTTGAGGACTGGAGGAAAGCCTCTTAGCAGATCCAGTGCAGTCAAAGAGAGAATGAAACGTTCCCCCTGCCCTGCACAAGGAGAGCTGTGCTCCCACTGTTCCCCTGATTTTATTCAACCCATGGTGCAAGGCTCCTCTCCACAACATGCCAAAGTGCCTCACCCCCCGTGCACAGGGCCAAGCCGTTGTGGCAGCGCTGAGTTGGCCAGTGAGCCAGCGGCCAGCAAGAGGAAATGAATCCCCAGGCCCCTCAGCCACAATGCCGTTAGAAGCTAACGGGGGAAGTTTATTAAAAAATAATAGCAGAGATAAAAAGGAGGCAAGGAAGCCGCCTTGGAAGCCGTTCAACCACGAGGCCCCTTCAAATGCAAACACTCACCAGCCTCCCCCGGCTGCACAGCACTACAGGCTGCAGCCATCGGCTCTGCTGAGGTCCAGCGCCAGATCACTTCTGATCAAAACCAGCCCCCACCAGCACTGCTGGGAATGAAACACATCCCCTCACTGCCTTCTGCCAGCACTGGTTCCAGCCTGGCCAGCGATGAATGAAAGCATTTCACAGAAGCTGCCAGTGCCACTTCCCAGCAGTTTTCCTCCCTGCAGCTGGGGATTCCCCAGCGCCTGCCTGAGGCTTGCCCAGTGCCTGCTCCCTGCAAGGCAGCAGTGGGACCCTCCCAGCCTTCCATCCACACTTTCTTTCACTTTGTTTACAAACAAAGCACAATCCAAGGCTCAGGGTGCAGCCTGGGGCTCCCCCAGATACCACAGGAATCAGGTCTGACTTCCTCGAGGAACGTGCACCTTGTAATGCTATTTCCTGAGCTCTCCTTTCCCCATGTGTCCTTCAGCAACACCACTAGGAAGGGTGACACCTCCAACACCCCTCTAGCCCATCCTCCAGCTGAGGAGCCAGAGTGTGATCAAGACCCATGAGGGCCTCTCGCAGAAGCAAAGTGCAATGCTCAGTTTTCATTACACTTATAGCACATCACCCCTATAGCAAAACTCTCCATGCACAAGAAAGTTCAGCATGACCCAGTGTAGTGGCAGTACATTCAGCTGGGGCTTCTGGGGCTCAGAATGTTTCAGGGCAGAGCCATGGCTGCAGCTGGGCCACCATCAGAGTACTGGGTTTGGCTGTGACCTGCTTGATAAGATGACACTGGAGACAGTGTCCTGCAGCTGGTTAATGCACACTGTCCCTCACACTGAGCCCAACATGCTCATCAATCACCTGTGCAAGCCAGATCAACCAGGGCCAGATCAACCTTTGGGAGCCAAAGGCATCTTTGAGTGAGGTGCTCCAGGTGGATCTCTGGAGAGGCTCATGAGCATGAATTGTTCCCACAATGATCAGACCCCCATACATCTCACTGCGAGCACAGCCAGTGCGAGAGTAGAGCATGCCAGCTCAGGTGCCCCACGCATGTAACCAGCTTCATCTTGCTGGTCCTGGAGGAGAAGCTACACCAAAAACTACCAGTTAATGCTCATCCAGCAGATTTTCCCCTCCTGCATGCAGCTCTCTCTGCCCTGAAGAAGGTGGGCCTGAAGCACATCCCTCATCTCGGAGTGCAAGATTCTTCCCTCAGGCAGGCGCAGGCTCTTTGGAAGATCACCATTAGACGCAGGTGAGACCAGATTAGCCCTCACCATCTGCCAGCTCTGGCCACCCACATCCATTAGGAGCTTCCTCCCGCCCCAGAGGCCTTTCCAGACCCCCCTGAAAGTTTGCCAAGGATGCTGAGGCAGCACCAGAGGTGGCAAGAGCTCCATCCGACAGCCTATGACATACTAATCCTGGGATTAACTGGAGTTCAGAGGTTAATTACAAAGGTGTGGAGAGGGAGGGGGAGAGAAGAGGGGCCACAGAAAGACTCAAAATAACTCTTCCTCCTAAGAAACAAGCTTGGACCAAGGCTGCTGCATTTTTAGAAAGACATCATGAAGAAGGCAGTGCTCTGGGAAGATATGTTCTCTCACCTGAGGCTGGAGGGATCACCCCAACTTGGTCACCCTGATTCCTGACCCATCTTTGGTTAGCCACCAAGCAGCCCCCAGAACCCAGTTTGCAAAGTTTATATAGCCTTCCCACAGAAGTGTGAGAACTAAACCCACTGGAAACCGTGCATGGCTCCAGCACAACCCAGGCCAAGCAGGAACATAAAGTGGGGACGTGAGGAGTAAATACCTCAGTGGGAGGGCGGCAGGATTTACGAATCTTCCCACCCAGACTGATTTCAGACATCCCTGCAGTGCAGAGAGGCACCATGCAGGGAGACCTGAATAGGCTCCCAGGCTGGAAGCAGCATAAACACTTCAACCTCAACTCATTATCAGAAAACATCACTAATTCACTCCAGCACAACCATCCTAAGTGTGGTTGTCTGGATTCCAGGCCATGAAGCAGCTATATCCACGGGACACTATTCTGCATTAAGTAGCTGTACGCAAAGAGAGATGCCCAGGTGCTCTGCAGGGCAGCCCCTGCATAACCCACTGAGACCTGCTGACCCCAAGAGGGATGATGAGGTCTCCCCTAAGCAGGGACTCCAAGTCTCAGAGGAGATGATGCCAGCACACCACCAGGTTTCTGGCGCGCCCCTCTCTTACCCCATCACCACCATGTCTCCAAGGATTCCATCGGAGGTGTCACCAGTCAGGATCTGCAGCATACAAGTACACATCTGGAAGGAGTTAGATGACGAGAGCTTCTGCCAGCTGTCTTCATTTAGATTTGTTCATACTTGGAAGCGCTGTGCAGCGTGATCTGTAAAATAAAAAGTTACACTGATTGACACGAGCTGAGGGTTTCCTCTGAGACACTCCCTGCCCCCATCATCTCTGCCTGGGAAGCCAGCATTAACGCTTATTACATCCTGGACGCCGGCAGCGTATAGCAGAGGAAGCCATGCAAAAACAACGAGGGCGCAGCAGTTAACCATCGCCTCTCTTCCTGCTAGAGCGCAGTCAGCCCCAGCACGGGTAGGGCATCTGTGGGAATATTCCCCTGCCTAATACCAGGGCAGTCCTAGTGATACCCCAAGAGGACCCCACTGGGAAGCCAGGACCCGTCCCTGGGAGCTCCACCCCCTGCTGGGTGCAGCAGCACAGGTCCTGGGGGTTGCTGGGCTCCCAGTTCCCCTCCCTAAGGGACAGAGGAGACACAAACCCTGTCACGACCATAGCTTAGGCATCCTTTACCCTGAGTTTAATTTCAACATTTGCAATACCACTGAGCTCAGGAAGGGCTGCAGAGCTCACCAGGAAACAGATGGAAAGCTCAGGGAACCTCCTGTTTCTATTACTTACACACATTTCTCACCTGAAGCTATTTCTACAGCTTTGCCTCTGGGTATAGGAGAGATTTGACAAGGTCTGAAGCCAGACAAAAGAGTCTACCAAGAAAGCAGTGTCTAAGCTGTCACTGATTCTTAATGGGTTTGTCAACACATTGGAATCAGCTGCTCCCAATCTGATAATCTCAGTCCCACACACAGAGCCAGGGGCTGCTGGGAAAACAGCTGATCCATTTCAGGATCCTTGGGGTTGAATCCTTCCCTTGAAAAATGAAGAAAGAATAGGACAGGAGCTACCAACCACTGAGATGGAGCTCTACATCCTAAGGAAAAGGATGCTGCTTTGCCAAAAGGCAGGTAGGGTGATAGGGAGGAGTGATGATGGAAGTGTATGTACTGCATGACACCACTGTACCTATGCAGAGCCTCCTCCTGCTTCTACAGGGCACGTGCAATCAACTCAAAAGCAGCACAGAGTGCTTGCATCAGAGCCTGTGCTATAGCCTCATCTATGTGACACACAATCTCCCAACAGGGCTGCCAACGCTGGGCCTCAGCCAAGAGCTTGCATTCTGAGGGACATGTCTTCAATTAAAGTCTTTTCTTCCCCATTTTGTTTAAAATTGGGGTTGAGCTGCTTCTAAACAGATGTGTTGGGGTAGCCAAAATATTTGCCTTTCTGCTGGCTGCTTGTTTGGCATCCACACGTGGCCATTGCCAAAGTACTTGTCCCTCCCACCCGCTTTGAGTGAGAGGCAGCTTTAGGGGGTGAGCACCCTCCCTGTGCTCACCCAGAGGGCCAAATGCATACAGTTCCACGTTTCTCCAATGTCTTACCTGCAGCCCAGACAGCTGCCGCGATTGTTGGGTGCTGCAGATAAGATACACTGCATGCAGGCAGCAGCACCCCCAGGACATCTGTCCATGTGCTCACTACAGGGACCAACCCTGCAAAATGCAGCAGAACACCCCAGGGACTCCCCACCTGCTCAGAGACATTCCTAGAAGAAAGGCTGCTCTACCAGCCCCCTGCTGTGGTTACCATTGGGTGCTCCCAAGCCCTTAGCCGTGTTAGCCCATAGCTGTGTTAGCGCTACCAGCAGCCAAGGTTGGAGATGGGGAAGATCAAGGTGATCACCAGTGAGAGAAGCAGGGGTTCAGTGCACCTCTGTCACTCATTCTGGCTCATCTTAGCATGTCTCGGAGATTATTTCCAGCTGCAGGGAAGTTTCTCTGCATGCAAACTTCTGTGCCCTGCACAAGGAAATCCCACCACCGGAACCTGACCCCCATGACGCAGAGGACAGACAGCCGGAGGGGCCGTTTACGTGCAGTCTGTGATGAGGGCTTGCAGGCGCACCGCTTGCCGTGCGGGGCCAGGCTGTGCAGCGTGCAGACACCCTGTGACTCAGAGCATCCTCACCAGCATGGCATCCAGCCCAGGCTGCAGCTGGGGAGCCTGCCTACATCACAATGGGATCCAGGGGAAGCCCCTGCTGGTCTCACCCTCTCCTTTGAAGGCACAAGGAATAGGATCACCACAACCCCCGTGCTCCGCCCCCCTCATTGGTGCAGACACAGATCCGTTTGGGCAGGCAGAAAGCCACAGCCACTTTTGGGGTCAGAAATGGGGCTGTCTCACCAGACATCTCGTTTCAGCTCTTCAGCATGCTCTTGCCTGCTGAGTTAAACTCAAGCTCCTGCTCACATGAGTGCTCTCAGCAAGGTTCCCCAAGCCCGACACACCAGCTTGACCCTGCAGCAAGCTAATAACCTGTGGAGAGGGCATTAAACCAACTTTTACGCTTGGGAGCCAGATTCAGCCCTACTCAGTCACACACCTGAACACCCATCCATGATGCAGACAACCGTTGTTGCCAGGGCTTTCAGGCTACAAATGCTCCTGGCACATCCCCTGGCCAAGTCTGAGAGGCCACGGTGGGAAGCTCATGTTTTAGCCATCTCTCTTGCTAAGTAATAACCTGGTGGGAAGAAATGCTGGCACTGGTTCATCCCAACCCCAACTAAACTATCCATGTCTCCTTACACCATTTTTTCCTCTCCCAGGCCCCTGTTGTTTCACTTGTCACTGCCTGGATCTGAGTGTTCAGGAAGGACCTGGATCTCTTAAGGCCAAAACAATCCAGTCAGGTCAATCCCTAGGCCCCACCATCAGCTCTTTGAGTCCCACTCAGGAGCTTGCTCTTCCTGGAGGCTTCTGTCCCACATATCTCCCAGCAGCCCACTGCTCAGCAGAACAGGAGGGTCAGGAGCTGACCTGGGAACATGTCTTTTGCTGTAGTCTCACAGTCTGAACTCATGCACTTCTAAGATTCACTTGGTCTCTGTAGACTTCAATGCTTCTGTCTGCTACTTCACTGAAGCATGACCCAGGTGCTTAGCTGCACTTGTTCTACAGCAGCAGACCTGAGCTGACGAGATACCACACTGCTCAGAAGGAAAAGAATTAACTTCAATAACAGTTTAAATGTCAAATTCCCCTATGGGTCTGACTTCCAGTGGAGGCCTGCTCTGGACTTAACATTCAGGTTCTCATACACCTTGAAGTTTCTTGGAGCTCCTTGCAGCCCAAACACTCAGCATACTGGGACCTGCATTTGGCAGCAGAGAAATACAAACAGTGAAAAGGGGTTCAGTGATCAGGAAGAAGGTGCACAACCTGGGTGAAGATGTCCCCATAGCTCCCAATCCATTCCCTTCACCAAGGTCCTTTCTCTACTCCTTTGTCCATTAAAGGTCAAGGAGAGAGGACATCAGCATAGCAGCCCTGGTCACGGTATAAGATCCTAGTTACATCCTGTAGGCCCCTCGCTACTGCATCTAAAAAAACAGCTTTCCACCACCGCTTATAGGAACATGGCTGGGATCCATTTATTAACCAGGTGGAAGTTCTTCCTCTCCAGTGCTCCGTCTGACACATCAGGAGATCAGAAACTCTCCCTTGCTATCTGATCCTCAAGCAAAGTATGCGAGTGCAAAAGGAGTGAGATATAAAGGTGCAAGGATCTGCTGATCCCACAGCCAAGTCACCACTGGCTCCTTCAAAGGGTGGGCCCTTGAAGAAAGGACACATAGTACAGAATAGCCAGTTTCTTGCCTCAGCTTAGACCACTGTAGACCCTCTCTTGAAGGGCCAGAGAATACAGTCACGTTGTGAATGTGACCCCCTGTAGCACATCTGTGACCCACCTGCACACAGGTGACAGCACTGACAGCATCCTGAGCATCCCAAAGGAGAGGAATCACCAGCCCATGTGTGCTGCACAGGCTACCCCTCTGGCTCTGAACAAGAACCCAGGGCTTCCCTCCCAGCCTTTCAGGTGGGACGTGGATGGTCCCCCAAGAGCAGGGCCCTTGAGAGGGTCCCTTCTCAGCAGGGCTTAGTGCCTATACACAGGAGTACAGGTGAGGAGGGGGGATGGTGGCAAGGTTTTGCCTGATCCCTGGTCACCAGCAGCTCACTCACAACCTTGTCATGGTCTCCCAGACCATGGCACTTCAAAGAGTGCTCCCCACTGAACATGCAGCAGGATGAATTCCTTTCTTCTTAGTAGAAATGTCTTGCTATTTAACAAGAATTACCCCATTATCTCAGTACCTGGGATTTTTCACTTTGATTGCCCAATGCTTGTCTGATGAGCTTGAAAGGAGGACGAGGGAGGTCAAGCCAGCCTCCCCAGAATTAATGAATATCATCTCAAAACAACCTCAAAGATGTCACAAAGGTCTTACCCGAATCATTCGCTGCTCAACTTGACGTAGTCATCCAGTAAACATGCCAACCATCAGCCCAGCAGTGTCACACACCATATGTCCCAATTGGTTACTCACATATGCTACTCTTAGTTCTACTAGGGAGAATTTACATCTTCATCACAGAATCAGAGTGGGACTGTTTTTTCCAGTCTCTTCTGAGTCAGTGGTGAGCAAGTGGGATGTGTGGACAGTGTCTGGTGATGGTATGCCATGTATACGCAGTTCCGGGAGAATAATTAGGTACATGGCCACACTGTAACCTCAGCCTTCCTCTGTGGTCCCACATTCAACCTGGAAGCCAGAGAGCCAGAGCAGAGCTCAGCCCCACTGAACCCAGGTGGAAGAGAGCTTTGGTTTGAATGCAAAGCTGGGGAGAGGAACTCTTATGTTCCCTGAAGCACTCACTGCCCCATGCCTTACAGTACAGGTGAATGATGGTGAGACGACAAGAGAATAGGAAGGATATCAAATTCCCAAGGCTCAGCACTGCAGAAACAACATTAATAAAAATCTCTGCTTAATTTGTATAAGACCCTTTCTCTTTCCTCTACTCTTCCATACCCTCAATCTTTATCTTTCTCCCTCTCTGACAGCCCTCCAACCTGTACTCCCAAGAAGAAGGTTATGATAACAGCGAGGCTGGATAATATCACTGCTCTGATGCCCAGAAAGCCTTTGGCATTTTTGCTGAGAG